CTAGTGGGAGTCAAAGACAGCATTTAACCTAGTTCTCCCCAATTCTGAGGCTGGCGCTCTATCCACTAAGCCACACTACCTCTTATGATGTCTAAAATAACTCTGTTATGGGGTTTGAGGGCCAGGGAAGGGAGAAGCGTCTAGGATGACGCTTACACTACGGGCTTCCTGTGCAGAGAAATGTGCATCATTGTGTAATAATACTAATAGTCAGTATTTACATAGTGTTTCCTATGGGAGGGGCAGCTAGATAGATCAGTGGAAAGAACTCTGGGCCTGAAGTCAGGAAAACTGAATTTGACCTCAGATACTCACTAGTTGTGTGACCCTGGGCAAGTCACTTAACCTGTTTGTCTTAATCCACTAAAGAAGGAAATGGTGGGGCAGTGGATAGAGCACCAGCACTAGAGATGGGAAGACCTGAGCTCAGATTCAGCCTCAGACACTTACAAGCTGTGTGACCCTGGGAAAGTCACTTAAACCCAACTGCAACCTCCACCCTGCCCAAGAGAGAAAAAAGGAAATGGCAAACCACTCTAGGATCAGTTGCGAAGAAAACCCCATGGACAGTATTGGCATGCTATGGTCCACGGGGTCATGAAGAGCCACCTGAACAGCACTGTAAAGTGCCAGACACTGCTAAGCACTTTACAATTATTATCTCATTTGTCTCATTATTATCTCATATCTTATTATCTCATGATCTCATTAGATCCTCACAACAACTTTGGGAGGTAGGTGTTATTATTATCCCCATTTTACAAATGGGGAAACTGAGGAAAACAGAGGTTTTCCTGATTCCAGGTCAGGCTCTCTGTGCACTAGCTAACTGCCTCTGAGGGTAGATATGGTCGGAAAATGACTGGATGGCAGCCAAGGTCCCTCCCAGCTCCAGAACTATAAAATGACTTATTTCTCATCAGGAAGACAGAATTTCACTATCATTTTCAACCAAGAGTCTTTCTTATTGTTTATCACCTTAATAGGCAGGCTAGTGTTCACAAGGGCCACATTGTGCCCTCTGGAGCAATGACCTGACCTTTAAAAGTTGACTGGAGAATCCAGATTATAATTTCTTTATCTCGCCAGTAAACAAGAAATCACTGGCAATTTGGGAATCTGGTCTGCTTAACTGTGCATGTCTTTAACAAAAGATTTGTTTCTTTTTTTTTTTTGCTCAGTGGGGCAGAATAAGATAGAGAGAAAATAAATTTTTGGCAATTGAAAAAATTTTTAATTAAATTTTGAAAATTAAATCATTGATACAGGATGCATCCCTAAGTCAACATGGATATTTGTAGAAGGTTTGGCTACCTTGGGGCCAGAAAACCACCACTGCTACCCCCAAACAATCAGCATTTAAAGTGTTTATTTAAAGTATGTTGAAGAAAAAAACATCAAAACTTAAACAGTACTCTGGGTTTAAGTATTAGTCTGCCAGAAAGTTTTGTTTAACTTTCATTAGCCTGTATCTAAGCCATTTCTAGTTTGGAGAAATAAAGATGTCCAAACTGGCCTAGTCCTCCCAATCCTTCAAATGAATGCAATCATTTTACCAAATAAAGTTAGTATAACTTCGGGTACTGCCATGGTCAAGTTACGTCTCTGTAGAGATGGAAATCCAGTTTGAGAGCTGCCACTGTTTGCTGGGAATCCTTTGGATCAGAGTTTCTTAATCTTTTTTATGTTGGGGATCTCTCTGGCAGTCTGATGAAGTTTATGGACCCCTTCTCACAATCGTGTTTTAGAATGTTTAACATGAAATATGTAGGATGACAAAGGAAACCAATTATGTTGAAATAAAGATATAATTCCTATCCAGGTTTACAGAATGCCCCACCATCGCCACCACCTCTGCTGCCCCCAAATCGCTGCTGCCCCAAAATCGATCCATAAAGTCCTTGCCTTGAAAGGGTAGTGGGGAAGGGGTGGTCCTCAGGTTAAATAAGAATCCCTACAGATTCACTAAATGCCCAAGCCCATCCCAACAAACACTTCTCTACAAATTTTTTGAATAATTTATAAAGACCCCTTTGTAGGATGGGGCCTCTAGTACATTTAGCCTAGGATCTGTTGTGACAAGCCTGTTTAATGCAGTTTTTCTAAAGTGATTGAGTGAACCAGACCTATCTCATACAGCTGTTGGGTGGAAATTGATTTGCAAATCTTAAAGTGCCATGCAGATGTGAATTGTTATGATTATTGTAATTGTTGCTGTTGATCATTCCTCAGTCTCATCTGACTCTTTGTGACCCCATTTGGGGTTTTCTTGTCAGAGATACTGGAGTGGTTTGCTGTTTCCTTCTCCAGCTCATTTTACAGGTAAGGAAACTGAGGCAAACAGGGTTAAGTGACTTGCCCAGGGTCACACAGCTAGTAAGTGGATTTGAATTCATGAAGAGACTTCCTGACCCATCATTCCATCCACTGCACCATCTAGGTGCCCTAATTATTTTAACATGTTTTCCCAGATATGGCATCAGAAACACCATCCCCAAGAGACATGATAATGCCTCTAAACATTAGCGTATCTTAAATAAAAACAATCTTGATGTATTTTCTAAAGTAAATAATCTGATCTAAATTGTACAATGAAGTTCAATTCAGTCCAGCAAAGGGTATCCAAACATCTACTGTGTCCAAGGCATAATGCTTAGTACTGGGGGAGACTCAAAGTCTAGATATAGACAGCCCCTCTTGTCTTCCCAGACCTCACCTTCTCGGAACAGGGATTTGACACATGCACAACCACATTTCAAAATCATACATGATAACTGTACATGTGAGAGGTACAAAGTGCTATGTGAGGTCTGAGGAAGATGAAGTCATTTACCACTGTGATCAGGGAAGGCTTCATGGAGGAGGTGGCCCACAAAGGATGGGTAGGTGCTCCACAGGGGTAGGGGAAAGCGGAAGGGGGAGGCCAAGAATGCAGGCAGAGAGAGATTGGATTGTACCCGAGAGAGGGAAGGGTGCAGGGTGACAGGGTGTGTTTGAGGGAAAGTGAGCGCTCTAGACTAGCTAAAACATGAAGTCCTTGGAGGGAAATCATATGAGATAAGGCTTGAAAAATAGATTAGTGCCAGATTGAGTATCGAGCAAAACAAATGAAACTTTACCTAATAGGATTATAAGATATTGGAACCAAACTAAATGATATCTAGCTGGCACAGTGGATAGAACATTGGACCTAGAATCAGGTCCACCTTTGTCCAAATCTGGACTCAGTCACTTACTAGCCCTATGACAAGAAGCAACTCACTTAACCTTTGCCTACCTCAGTTTTCTCATCTGTAAAGTGGGGATGATAATAGCACTTACTTCCCAGAATTGTTGTGAGTATTAAATGAGATAATATTTGCAAACCTTAAGACACTATATAAATGCTAGTTATTTTTATTAAGTCATATGAATGTTCACAAGGATCTGCTAAAGACTTGGGGGGGGGGGGCTTCAGGGAATGACCAGAGCAATAACATTAGCTGACATTTATATAGCACTTTAAAGTTTGAAAAAAGTTTTACTTTTACTATCTGTTTCAATCTCATAGCAGATAGGAATTATTATCCCCATTTTACAGACGCAGAAACTGAAACCCCAAAAAAGGCAACCTTGCTAGTATAGTCAAAGGTGGGATTTGAACTCTTTTTGACTTTAAGGTTCTGCACTCTGTACACTGTGCTCCTTAGTCCCTGGCCATAATGACTTGGGTGGGAATACTGCAACAGGAAAGGTTTGGGGAGAAGAGAGATTGAAGTTAGAAACTTCTAATCTCTAATCAGCCTGATTCTTCAGTTCTAGAGACCTAAACACCATCTTCTTCCATGGCTGTCTTCAATCCCCAAGATATCAAAGCACTTGCAATGACTGGAAATCTTTAACTGTCCTTTTACTGGATCCCAATGAGTTCAGTCAACCCAGGAATGCACCTTTGATATCTCTGCCCTTCTTGGATGAACCTCATTTACTAACCCCCCCACCCTCACCCCAGTCAAGGCTGCCTATGGGTGGGAGAGGGGGAGGGGTAAATGTTCTAGGCCTATGAAATTCTGGGCATTCTGAGAGCTGCATCAAAGGACTGGGGGCTCAGGATGGGACTGGTGGTGGTAGACTGATGTGGAAGAACAAGCAACTTAAAGGTTAGTTTCCCAGAATCTCTTGGGGCTGAGCAGATGAACTTTTCCATCTGGGTCCCCTCTGCCTTTCCCCTGGCCACCCTAGAACATACCAGGACTCTTGGTACTGACTTTATCTCTCTCTTTCCTTACTTTACCTGGAGAGATGGGAGCAGGGCATGTCTTTTCCTTTACCCATCCTAATCTTCTGCCTACCTCAGACCTAAACTGGTTCTGTCAACTAGCACCTGCTGGTTTCATTTGCCCCCCACTCCCACCTCACAGAATGCATGACTTACATAGTACCTCTTCTAGGCAGCCAGCCCTTAGCCCCTGGAAGGTGTTACCAGCAGTTAGCCGTGTAGGGGCTCCTGCTTTGAGAGCAGGAGTCCCTGGTATACTCCTGTTTATCTGGCAGGAATGGGAAGGGGATGGGGTTTGAAAAGGACTGGATTGGGGGAGGGGAGACAAGGGGAAGGGTAGAATTCGTATTTAGCCAACTGTGGCTCTTGTGAAGACCTGTGCTTCCCACCTCAGGTCTAGGTATCCATCTGTCTATCTGTACTGTCTGTCATTTTTATCAGTGCCAGGTGGGGTCAGTGGCTGTTATAGCCCAACCATATGCCATATCTCTGAGCTAGCAGCAAGGGGTGGGGATCTAAGGTGACAGATCTTCCTTGAGACAACCAGGAAAGGTACTGTCTGGAGATATCAGGAGACAACCCTAAGCCCAGCCTGGGCTTTACCCTCTGCCCCCTCCCCCAAATATATATGCAGGGCTTCTGTGCCCACTGGAGTCAAAATAATGCCATTCCTCCCTGCCTGGCACCTGCCCTCCCTGTTGCCTTCAGGTCCACCCCAAGCGCCCCTCCTACCCCTGCTTACCTGGACTAGGCTGTGTGGGAGAGGCCAGAGGGTTTCATAGGAACTTGGAGGAGAACATGTTTGTCAGGCAGGGCAGCTGGTCTGGGACAGGACCTGGGACTGGATGGCTCCTTTATCAGCTACGCAGCTCATTTTGATCCCGGTCATCAGTCTCCTCCAGTTCCCTCCCCTCTCCTCCACCTCCCCTGGGCCAATCACCTTTCCAGTGGCAGAGGCCCAGCCAGAGTGGAGGCCCAGCCCTCACGGAAGACCAGTGGCTTGGACTCACCCTTCACACGGCTATTTACTCAACCAAGCCCTCCCCTTGTCCCCAGGTTTGGGCCCAGCGTTAACCCCAGGTGTGCCAGGATATGGAGGTGAAAGAGGGGGGGAGGCTGAGCCCTGGAGAAATTGCAACCTAGAGGAAGTTGAGGGTGCAGCCTGGAAGGGGTGGTAGGGTGGGAATTCCCATCCAAGAATTGCTGTCAGTCAGGCAGTGGGGCATACTGGAAACAGCCATGGATTTGGATTAGAGGGCCTGGGTTCGAGTCCTAACTGTGTTATTCTTTTACTTTGAGCAAATAATTTAATCTCTCTAGCCCTTACACTTTCTCATCTATAAAATGAGGTATTGGACTAGATTCAATTTGGAATTTTGTGAATTCCCCAGCCCTTCTCCCTCCTTTAATCTATCACCCGAATCATCCCTCCAGGCCATATCTGTCTGCAGCTCTACCTTTCAAAGTATCCACTGGCTAATCTGAGAAACTAATACAAATTCATGTGCTAAAGGAAGTGGACTAAAGGCCCCCCACCCCCAATTCCCTCCCCTTTCCTTCCCCCTCCTCTTCCCCTAGGTGAGAACAGACTTGAAGCTCTGGGATTCCCCAGAGGCCAGTGACCCCAGCAGGTGCTGGAAGTGCCTTTAGACTTTAGCTGAATCGTGTTGATAATCCTGTTTGCAGTTCTTACCAAACTGGAGGCAAATCCTTTGCAATCTCCCCTCCACCAGAGCCCCCACCTCCCCATCCCTCCCTCCTCCTCTGGTACCCCGAGAGCTGGTACTTAACAAAGGTAGGCATTCTCTTGTCCACAATGACTGTTGTGGTCACAGCAGGGGTAAATCACAGCAGGGTTGGAAACTGGGGGACTTGCTTCAGGTCCAGGGAAGTCATTGCTGCATTTCCTGAGCCCCCTCTCCAACCAAGAGATCCCATCAGGGTCCCTGGGATCCATCCCAGACACTAGGTGAGGGCTGAAGAAAGCTGGGCAGTCACACCCCCATCTCTGCCAGACCCTTCATCTCCCCAGAAGCCAGGACTCCAGGGGCTGGAAGCAAGCAGAGGAATTGGAATCTCAGTAAAGAAATTTTAGGACTATTTTCTCTGTGATTGTGAAAACAAAGTCATCAGAAATGAAGATCCCTTCTCTGTGCATATGCGTATGCTTATGCTCAGAGCCTAACCTGTTCAGGAACGCTCGTTCCCCCACCAGAGGACCCAAGAGGGAGGCTTCTATAGTTTTATCCCAGCACCAACACAGAGCCCACCTACTGGATCCCCCTGGGAGAGCTAGGGACCATAATTTGAGTGTCAGTTTTGTTGTTGTTATTCAGTTGTGTCTGATTCTTTATGACCCCATTGGGGTTTTCTTAGAAAAGATACTGGAGTGGCTTGCCATTTCCTTCTCCATCTCATTTTACAGATGAGGAAACTGAGGCAAACAATGTTAAATGACTTACCCAGGGTCACACAGCTGGTCAATTTCTGAGGCCAGATTTGAACTCAGGAAGAGAAGTCTTCCTGACTCCAGACCCAGTGCTCTGCCCACTGCACCACCTCACTGTCCCTACCTGTTGAGTAAAATGGAGCCTTCTACCTCTGTCCTCCCTCCCTTTCAAGGTTGTAGGCTGTTATCTCCCAATGCCTTTTCCTCCCCTCTCCCCCCACCACTTTTTTCTCCTTAGCCTTTTCTTTTTTCTTTATCCCTCTTCCTGTTCCCCTCTTCAGGGAGGTCCCACCCTGGCCTCTTCTCTCTCACTCCCAGTGTCTGATTCTTGAGACTCAGCATGAGAAAAACACCACACATTTCTGACATGGGAAACTTGGAGTGCTTCAGAGGGGAGGAAAAAAATTGGAGGATCATAGGAATCTTTTAGAAGCCAAGCCCAATCCCCTCACGTTATAGATGAGGCCTAAAGAAATCACCTGTCCCAAGTCACACAACTAGTAGAGAAACTCCAGTAGCAAAGCAGGATTCGAACCTAGGTCCACACTGCGGCTCATTCTATGGATGGGAGGGAAGAAGACTTGAGGGAACCATTATACACACACACACACACACACACACACACACACGATCTCATCAAAATCCCAGTATAGGCTGAATCATGGCTGGTTTGTCTCTGGCTTAGGCTTTAAACTCTAGGCTGACTCAGGGTACTGGGCTCTGGCTTAAGCTCTGAACTCTGGGCTAGGCTGGGTTAGGCTGAACCAGGAGATAACTGCTGGAAGCAGTGAGTCATAAATTTGATTTGATTTACACATTTTCCCTGAGTGGGGACAGAATCATTCATCCTATTTTGATACCATCCAGTCTTAGACATAAACTGGAGTGGGGGATGAGGGGGGAGAGGAGAGGAGAGGGGAAGGAAAAGGAGGGGAGAGGAAGAAGGAAGAGGGGAGAGAAAAGGAAGGGAGGGGAGAAGAGGAGGTCTTTCCAGTCTGGATCATCAGTAAATATTGATCATCAGTATTCTCCTTCTGGGGTAGGGCTCCTTTGCCCATTATAGCCCTGGCCTAGCCCTAATCCTAAACAAACTAAATTAACCTTTCTCAACTCCACTGTCTAGGTGGTGAATAAACTGAACCCTTCCCACTTTATACAATATAGAGGAGCAGAGTGGTGGAAGTGGGAGGGGAGTGGGTGACACTGTTCCTTTAAGGTCCAGGTTTATCTCCCAAGAGTTTAGAGTTCAGGGCCAGCCCACCCCTTTCTCTTTCTGGGGAGAGGTGACTAGTGGTAGAGAGAGAGAAGAGGGGAGGAGAGAATTAGGGCTGGAGAGAATCTGGTCAGGCTTTTTGGAACCGAGGGAGGAAACCCTTTTTTTTCTGGCATAGTTCCACACCCCTCCACCCTCCACCCTCAGGCTTGGATCACCCAGGCCAGCAGAATAAGGAATTCCCTCAGCTCAAAGTCCTTTCCCCACCTCTCTACTTCTGGGAGGAGCTAGCTATCTCCTTATTGGGTACTAGTACTAAACTAGGAAATTTCTAGTAAACTAGTAATTTCTGTAGTTTTTCACACTGAAGTTTCATCTCCTAGATAATTATCTATCTATCTATCTATCTATCTATCTATCTATCTATCTATCTATCTATCTATCAGGTAGCTGATGGGCTACCAGTGCTGGGCCTGGAGTCAGGAAGACCAAAATTGAAATCTGATTTCAATTTGCATGACCCTAGGCAAGTCACTTTACCTCTGTTTCACTCAAGTAATAAACATTTATTAAGCATCTACTATGTGGCAAGCACTGTAACAAGCTCTGGGGATACGAAAAGAGGTAAAAGATAATCTCTGCTCTCAGGATGCTCACAATTTAATGAGGAAAACAACAAACAGAATTGAAATACACACACATACATATGTTATTTATATGTGTACACATACATACAAACATACAAATATATATATGTATGTGTGAAAAATAGGAAATAAGTAACAGAGGTTAAGAAGGATTGGGAAAGGCTTTCTGTAGAAGATGGGATTTTAGTTGAGATTTAAAAGAAGCCAGAGAGGCAATAGGCAGAGATGAGGAGGGAGAGCATTCCAGCAATGAAGAGCCAGAAAAAATTCCTGGAGCCAAGAGATGGAATGTCTTGTACATGGAATGAGGAGGCCTGTGACATTGGATTAAAAAGTACATGATGTGATTGCACATGTATAACCTATATCAGATTGCTTGCCATCTTGCGGAGGGGAGCTGGGAGGGAGGGAGAAAAAATTTGGAGCTCAAAATTTTCTAAAAAATGAATGTTGAAAACTATCTTTACATGTAATTGGGGAAAAAAAACAAAACTATTTCCAAAAAAAGAATACACAGTGAGGAGTAAGGTATAAGAAGATTGGAAAGAAAGATTGGGGCTAAGTTATGAAGGATTGTGAATGCCAAACAGAAAATTTTGTATTTGATCCTAGAAGTGGTAGGGAGTCACTAGAGTTTACCGAACAGAGTGGTGATCCTTTAGGAAAATCACTAGTAGCTGAATTGATTGGAGTGGAGAGAGACCTGAGGCTGACCAACCCACCAGCAGGCTATGGCAGTAGTCCAGGTGTGAGATGATGAGGACTTGCACCAAAATGGTGGCAATAGGGGCAGCTAGGTGGTGTAGTGGATAAAGCACCGGCCCTGGAGTCAGAAGGACCTGAGTTCAAATCTGGCCTCAGACACTTGACACTAGTTGTGTGATCCTAGGCAAGTCACTTAACCCCACTTGCCTCACCAAAAAAAAAATGGTGGCAATGTCACAGGAGGAAAGGGTACAATGAATTGGATATGGGGAGGTAAGAGATCGTGAGGAATGGAGGATAACTCCTAGGTTTTGAGCCTTCAGATTAGGATGATGGTATTGCCTTCTATAGTAATAGGGAAGGTAAAGATGTATAGCAATAGGGAAGGTAGAAGTGAGGGTTTAGGAGAACAGAATGAGTTCAGTTTTGGACATGTTGAATTTATGATGTTTGCTGGATATCCAGTTTGAGATATCTGCAAGGCAGGGGTGTATGGGGTGTTCACGGAGGATTAGTACCTCTGGTGTGAGGGCTTTCCAAGCCTTTTTCAGGGGTGCTCATCCACCTTTGGTGTCCACCTTTCACCCAACTCTTACCTGTGGCTCTAAGTACTTGTAGCATGCTCAGCAACCACACCCCGGTTAAACCACCTCTGCTCCAGCTAACCCAGGTTGAGGGTAACCAACAAACCTCAAACCCATTGGTGAGTTAGGGGAATGTCTACCCCAAGCATGTGAAGACTTCCTCCTACGGTAGAATAGGTGGATGAGAATTTGTTCCAGTGGCCATGAAGGCGGCTGAAGCAGGAGCTGCGGAGCGCTCAGAGCTTGGTTAGACTTTGAAGCCGCCAAAGTCATCCGCTGCATCCTGGGCTATC